TTTTGTTATCTTTATGAAGTTGTTTGACTGCATTTATGTATGTTGTTCATATTCCTGGTTATCTATGGTTTTAAACTAGTAGTGCTAAAACACCGCGTACTTTCTCGCCCTATTTTCACACCAAATTACGCAAAGAGTACACAAATTTTCAAAAAATTGTTAATGACCTTATTTCAAAACCTATTTTAAGATACATTTCATTAAAGGAAAATATCTCTTTCTCTAATATTTTGGTTGTGGAAAGAATCCGAAAAAATTTTGAACTTTGGCAATTTTCGAAAAATTAGAGTATTCAACGAGCATGAGACCTACACCATTCTCTTAAACGTCCTTCACACTATCCGACAACAAAATTTAATCAAAAACAATGGAGCCTTTTTTTTGTTGAAATTTTTGAAAATGTGGAGGTTTATGAAAAGTGTCCCACAAAATGAAAATAAAGATTTCAAATTCAAGGCGCCGCGACACCAGCTAGAGCGGTTGTGGAATATCGGTTTTGGAGAAAATCGACTGAACGGTTTAGCCGCTAGTGTTGTTCATAAACAGATGGACAGACAGACGTTTTGCGGTCATTTTTTGCGCCTGTTTTTTCATGCAGGCTGTTTTTTCGCGCAGTATAAAATAACTAACTTTCTCTTTATTCTGTTGCGAGAAAGTAGGCCTTCTTTCTAGTCCTTATACGAAGATGAAATTCTTATAATAAGTCATGTACAATTGTTTGAAAAATCGAGACGTTTTTGCGTAATTTATTCTTGAAATTAATGCAATTTATAAAAAATACATTTATTCAAAAACTGCTTCAAATGTTTTCTTCATTTTTCCATGAGTAGAACAGTCTATGGACGATTATAATAAATAGGAGATGTGAAATGAGAGGTGAGGGAAACTCGAGAACCACGAGAAGATCTGCCGTGAACCCGCTTTGTCTACCGCAAATTTCACTTAGATCGTCCGTTATTAGAAACTCGGAACCCAGAGGTGAAAGGTGATCGAGCTTGTCGATATATCACGGCTCGTCCGGTAACCTCTGAACACCATAATCAATTAACCATAATCATTGGAGGGACATAACGAGCTCTCGGAAGGTTTCTCGATGCCCTCCGTTTCGCTGCCTACCATTCCACCGTTTCTGAATTATCATGGTTCGAATCCCGACTGTAGCAGATTTCTTTACATAGCTAGGTCGAATTCAACTACTGATCAGAGAAGAATTTGAGTGGCTAACCCCTCTGATCCGTAGTTTTTCGTGTTTTCTCCCATCCGTACTAGGTGAATATCGGGACAGTACCATAACAAACGGCCCAGAACCGCCCGCAATCATTCTTTCCCCATTCTTGTTCCTTCGTCTCACATTACACACACACATACACACACTTTCATGCACTACAATGTCACACATGCCAGTGATCACATGGGGGCTTACAGGTTATCTCAGAATCGGCGGTACTTGAGGAGATACCTTGAGAAGAACCCCCATTGTGCGATGTGTAGGTCGGCGCCTAATCGTACGTTCCACCGAGGGAGTAACACAACCAACAGCCGAGATGTAATATACTTACAGTATGGTAAGCAATATACTTACAGAACTTCACTGAACACAATGGTGTCCAATAGGCATTTAATAGTTCCTATTTCTCCCTTTTTTTAAGAATTCTCAAAAGCAATATTCTGTTCACATTATTGACAAGCTTCTCTAGGTCTATAAAGGCCATATGTGTTTCGCATTTCAACTCCCTTCTTTCTTCGATTAATCTTTTTATTTTTATAGGACCTCTGTACAAGCTCGCCCTTACCTGAAACCAATTTTCTCTTCAGTTAAAAGTTAGACTGCTATAGCTTTCAGCAGTTGTTTAACTTTCTAGCATACAATTTAAATTTTAATATTATTTTACCAATTTTTATTTTTCAATAAATATTGGTTTCCCGGCAATTTCCTTTTTTAAAGAGTGATATGTTTTTGCTTGGAGCCATTCTTTAGAAACTTATGTTTTTTTCCAGCCCATGTTATAAAAATATATACGGTGCAAATGTGCAAATGGAATACAATTCCAGCGTATTTCAAAACGTCAGTATTTATATTGTTCAGTTCCTGTGCTTTCATATTTTTCATATCTTTAAATCTTATTTCAAATCTTTTAAAGTCATGTAGTCTATTTCTGCATGTCCTTCTTTGTTACTAGTTTCTTGCATTTTGTCTTCATTCCAAACCTTTTTGTAATGTGCTATCCAATCACTATCATATATTGCAGCAATATGGATGCTGTCCTCTATGTTTAATATCTTCATTACCTTGTACGCTTGAGTCGGCCGATCATGTACATCATGCTCAATGTTTCCTACAAACCTATCCCGTGAATCTTGGTACGAATTCCTTATAATAGATTTTGCTGAATCCATTTTCATGATTTTGCTGAATGCAATTTCTAGCACTCTTGTTTTCTTCTCGTTTGCTGTTTTTGGAGTTCTGAGGTATGTTACGTACATTTCCTGTTGGAATTCTTCTTCTTTCTGTATTTGTTCAGATGATATCCTAAGTCCTTTCTTTCTTTGAAGTCAGTTTTCTTCCATCTAGCCCATCATTTTATAAGCGAAACTACCAGGAAATTGTCAGATATTGTGACGGTATATCCACCATCCAGGGACCTCCAGAAAATAAATAACACTTTATGAAATTAATATGCGATTTCATCATCTCACTAGACGAAGGAATTTATTACAATCTTGTGCAAGCTACGACTTGCTCGCAGCCTCCTTCCCTTCACCGTCGGAAAGCGCCAGGTCCGTCCCTTTCGCCGGAGCCCCGCCAGACCGCGCCACGCCGGGCTGTCACCGTGTTTTATTTCTCAACAGTTCACTCGCTCGCCGAACTCTCTCCAGACCAAGCCACCCCCACCTCTCCCTCGTAGTGCACAGTATAGGAACAAAACACGAGTTGTAGAAACAGCCTCTCCTCCTACGCCATTAAATTATCTACTCATCTCAGACGCGCCCTGCCAGCAGCTGCGCCGAAATTGCGCAGTTTCCAGTTAAATAAACAAAATGTGTGTGTGTGTGAGAGAGAGAGAGAGAGGGAGAGAGAGAGAGATTTTGAGAGAGAGAGACATTGAGAGAGATTGATAGAGAGAGATTGAGAGAGATAGAGAGATTGAGAGAGAGAGAGAGAGTTTGAGAAAGATTGAGAGAGAGAGAGAGAGAGAGAGAGAGAGATTGAGAGAGAGAGTTTGAGAGAGAGATTGAGAGAGAGATTGAGAGAGAGTTTGAGAGAGAGATTGAGAGAGAGATGGAGAGAGATAGAGAGATTGAGAGAGAGAGTTTGAGAGAGATTGAGAGAGATTGAGAGAGATTGAGAGAGAGAGAGATTGAGAGAGAGAGAGATTGAGAGAGAGAGAGATTGAGAGAGAGAGAGAGCGCAAAGGAAATTTTCACTGGAAAAATTCACTGGGAATGCGAAGCTAGCATTGGATAAAATTAAGATGACGCAGTATGTTTCGGACAATCACGCTTGGTTCTAGAACAAGGGAGTGAAGTGACTTTCATAGGATTTGGGGCTGAGAGGACATTTTTTTAAGTCAGATCGTCGGAAGCATTATCCACAATCGCGATAATTTGATTGTTGTGATCGCAGCCAAGCTCCGCGAATCTATTTTATCGAAATTTGATTGTTGCGAGTGCAGTTTACGCTTTTCGTCTATTGAACTTTCTTTTAAAACAGAAAGCTCAGCTGCCGCAACCTGCCGCCCTCGACGAATGAACTGTCATAAGATTGGCATCGAGTTCGGGGCTCATGCACTGAGCGCCCGATACCTGGACAACAACGGAACAAGTCGTTTCCTGCTGGAGACCCGCTGGAGACGCCCTGAAGTCGGCGGATGACCTTCGAGCAGCTGACTGAACCGGTCACTGGCTCCGAGAAGGTGACACGTCTGTGCTGTAGAATTGTTTACGAAGAAAGCCAGTCAAGTTTTTCCTAACAAGCTGCTGCTCGTAGTTAAGCTAATTAAGCTTCATAGTTTGACGGAAAGAATAGAGAATGATCTCAACTAACTTATTTTAATTAACCAATTCTTTCCTTCTCTTTGAAGAACATCAATTTTTGGTGTATTACTTGTTCTCTCTCATACTACAACGCAATTCCGACCAAGTGCCAAATGGGTATTCTAAACATCCCTGAACTAGCCGAGCACGTGATAATTTAGGGTTCACTTAAAATTAAAATAGGGATTTGCACATTTGATTATCCCAAGCGGAACTAATAAAAATATACAAAAAGGCGACGTCCAAACAATATAGATCGCTTCTTCTCTTCTCTGTTGTATATACAATTTGCCTAGCTATTCTTTTGTTAGCAACTACGTAGTCAATTAAGGATCTACATCCTTGTCACACAAGAAAATTGCTAATACCACTCCAATTAAAGAAAGTGTTTGTTAGAAGTTCATTAAATGTTGAAAATTCTCTTAAAACTTAATTTCGATTCTCAACATTCTCTCCGCACTTCCGACTACATTTGGAATTTCCTTATTCCTTACTCTTGCATCCATACCTACATGAAATACCTCACATTATTCATTAAATTGATTTAATATTTTCTGTAGTGTACCATACAATTCATCTACATCGCTATTATTACCTTCTGGTCCATATGGGCATACTAACACAAAATGTTCTCTATCATGTTTATATTTCAATGTAGTTATTCTATCGTTCATGTAAGTACATTCTTTAATTATCTTTTCCCATTTTTTATCTACGTGGATTGCAATACATTTCGTCGCTCACGCAGTTTTTCCCACCACACTATAAACGTGGCATAATTCCCAATATATTTAGAACCCTTCTGCGTTTTCTCTGTTTCTGTTATTACTGCTAGATTATACGTTTCTCTCCAAGAGCTTTTGCTAATTCCAGTACAATATTTGCAATACCTCTTACATTCCAGTTGGCTAATTTTAAATAATCCATTATCCAATTATCCCTTTCAATTTTCTTTGCTGCAGTCGATGTATTTCCGTTTCCGAGACCATTTGTATGGTCTTCTTCTGCTTCATGGCCAGTCACTGATGGCCCGTTCCAACTCAGAGATCATCCTGCCATTTTCTTCTTGGGTGTCCTACATACCGATATCCGAAAGGTGTGTAGTTATATATTATTTGTGTTAATCTTCATATTTCCATTCTGTTGATATGATTCGCCTATTGGCATTTGTATTTTTTTAATTTTGTCATTTAGTTTGAACTTTTTAGGGTGGACTTTATCTCCATACTTGGAACGTGATCTGTCAAAGTATATTGTGGCGTCACCGAATTTTGATGATGGAATAATTATTAAACTTCCAACTTGTTTCTTACAAAATGCGACGTAGAACCGACGGACGCGAGAATCTGGTCACGTTCGGCGCCAAGAGGCCTCGATTAGCCACACCCTCCGCTGAACCATTTCTTTGCCCACGACTGCAGCTAGAAGGGGCGGTTTGGGACCCCCTACCCCTTGTTTAAAATCTGTTAACTGCTCGTTCACCGGGAAAACAACGGCCCACCCTCTTGAACTCGCCCACCCGTCGATCTACTAATCATTAACTTTGTAATGGAAAATCCCGGGCCACCAATGAAACGCCGCACACAGCATTGCACGTGCATTTTATAAACAAAAAGAGTGACAAAGAAGGAGATACTATAACTTTCCATTCACGTCGCTTGACACGCGTCCGGCGATTGTCCGAAATTCTTCTGCCACGCAATAACCTTAAGCCGAGGTAAAATGGCCAGTAATTTTATCAAAATCTTGGAATCTTCTAGAACTTTTCAAAGTGAAAGGAGGGGATAACAGTGACCGCCGGAGTCTTCATTACAATCCGTCGGGCATTTCTTATCAGACCACCGCCCGCACCAGTACTTGATTTCTTGTTGAACTGCCAGGCACTTGACTTCATTTTAGAACGCTGATGTTGATGAACAGTGATGCGTTTTTTACTGTTACTGCAACTTTACTGTTGGATAAAACGCCCTTTAAAAGCAATGTGTGGTACAGTTTCGTCCACATTTGTTTGCGTAATTTGAAAATTTGAAGGACACTTATTGCATTTTCGAAATTACACTGCACGGCTTCCGGAACTTCACAATTCTGTAAAGTTTCGACGACGACAACAACAACAACACGGTTGATATCTTCGCAGAGCCTGGCAGAACGGTTCTCAGCCACGCGTTTGCTAGAATAAAATTCAAGTGGCAAACTAATTTTCTGTAAGTGTAGGCTTAAGATTTTTTCTTAGCGTGTTAGATTTTAACTAGAATAAGTTTTGTTTTGGGAGATACTGCGCTCAAGTAGAGCTCACTACTTGCTATGCTTGGTTTTTAGCCATTAAACTTTAAATTTTACCTCATACAACAACTTTGTTCATTCTTACAAAAACAACGTCTATTCATCTCACGTTGTAAACAACAACGTCTATTCATCTCACTAAATTGCAGGTGACCCACTGCCATCTGAGCTAGCCGGCAGGTAAGGTAAATACGGGCAAGGAGTCACGATATCCTGCTACACTTCACAGGAAACGCATTTCTGAGGATTCAATTCTCCGCTTATCGGCTCTATTCAGTGCCCAATTCTCTCTACCATACATCAAGACTGGGACTGCCGTGGATTAATACAAGTCAACATTGTCTCTTCTTACATTTTTTAAAAATAATTTTAATGGCTCCACAAATATGTTGAAATTTGTGTAACTTTTGTTCTTGATCGATGTCATTTAAGAAGGAAACAATAGCCCAGATAATTGAATGTGTGGACTTGTTCAATAGTTTTGCCATGTAGAACATTTTTTTAGCAAAGAGGATGCTTTCCCTGAAAAGCCATCACTTTCGATTTCGAGGCGGATATCTCTAAATTGTAATTCTGTATTATATTTTACAATTTTAACGGAGCGAGTAGTAAATCGTATTCGGAGGAAGAGATAATTACCTGATCATCAGCAAATAATAGTGTTCAAAATAGTGTGATTTAATAAGAAATTATTCCACAGTTCACTTTTTTGGATAGCATCGTCTTTCTCTATATAAACGTACTCCTCGGTTTATGCTAGCAGAAACATTTCTAGCAAGTATTGATCTTAATGGAAGTATTTCTAAACATTTGTTGTATCTTAGATGTTCAGGATAACCTTTGTTTTTCATTATTGTCCGTAGATTTCATCTGCTTATTTTATCGAAGGCTTTATTATAATCAATAAACAGCAAATGAGTAGGAAGGTTGAATTCTCTGTGTTTTTGTATAATTTCTTTAATCATAAAGGCACAGTCTGCACATGAGTATCCTTTACTAAACCCATGTTGTTCTTCTGGTCAGTACGTCAGAGATTTTATTCAGTCACCTAGTAATTATTTTAGCAAAAGGTTTGGATGTGCCGTTCAAGAGATTTGTGTCCCCTCTTGTTATTACAGTCCATCCTATTGCCTTTCTTAAAAATATAACATATAAATTCTTCTTTCCATACATTAGGTATTTGATGTGTTGTTCAGCAGGTGTTAAAGATATTCAAAATCTCTGCTCAACCTTCCTTGAAGAATATTTTATTATTTCTGTATTTATCTCATTACTAGGACTTTTCCTGTTCTTAGATGCTTTTAAAACATTAATTAGTTCTTCCATAGTTATAAGGTCAACAGAATGGAACGACACTATATTGGGAAGTATTTCTAATATTTCGTCGCTAATGGACGAAAGGTTTTTATAACAATTTAGCCACGTCTCTTTCGGTATGTCGTTGTGTCACATTCTTCCTTATTGAGATGCTTGAAAATTTTGAAAGCTTTGCCAGCGTTTCTATGAAGAGATTCCTCTAAGTTAGAAATATATTTATCCCAAGCCTCACTATTCAATTTTATCACGTCCCTTTTAACTAAAGCACTTTTTCGTTTATATTTAATTATATTTAATTATATTTAATTATATTTAATTATATTGAATTATATTTAATTATATTTAATTATATTTAATTATATTTAATTATATTTAATTATATTTAATTATATTTAATTTATTTTCTGGTCACACCTCTAACATTTCACGCCCCCATGTGGAGAGATTCAGATATCCATTTCTGATTGCTTTTATTCCTTGCCATAGTTATCCTTTGATTTGAACTGTGATTAACCCTCTGAGCATTATGAATACTTGAAAAACTGTCCTCTGGTTGGGCTACCAACCCTACGCAGAGAAAGCCTAATGATGGGGTTGCCATTTCTCTGCAACTAGGCTTGCAGGGAATTTTTTATTCAGGGTTTTCTTCCCTTAGAGAGGTTGCCTTTTCTACGGCTTCCGTGTCCTTCTCCATCCGTTCAGCTGCCCATTCTAGGTGAGACTAGGCAGACTGGAACCGGTTTGGGGGTGTTTTATTCTCCCAAGGTCAGAGAACCTTCCCCTTCGCTCAACCGCTCTGCAAGAGACCGTTGGCGAACAGCGGGGAACCACTTACACCGGCGGTCACTCGGTCCCCAGAGCCGCATCAGCCCCCTTGAGGTGTTTACTATACCTCACCACGAGGAGGTGCGGTTGGGATTGTCCTATTATTGGGAGAGACAACTCTCTCCCTCAAGTTCTTTGGGGGTACCAAAGTAATTTGTATGGTCACTAAAAGTAATTATGTTTTTCTAAACTGTGTGTGGGTAACTGGCTCCCTCCGCTCCAGACTCCGCAATCTGGAGGGTCGAGATTTTGTGTTGAGGGATTCTAAATTCCATCGCTCGCGTTTAGAAAATATTTGAGGGAACTGTCTTACGTGAGCCACCTGCATAATACGTAAGGTCCGCGTCCTTTCTTCTTCTTCTTCTTCTTCTTCTTCTTCTTCTTCTTCTTCTTCTTCTTCTTCTTCTTCTTCTTCTTCTACTACTACTACTACTACTACTACTACTACTACTACTTCTTCTTCTTCTTCCCCTGATGCCTCTCAGCGTCGGGTTCCCCGTTTTTTTAAGGAGTAAAAGTGTATGTATGAAATATATGCATTAATGCATTATACGAGTATGCACTGTACATATGTATTTGTATCATATGGAATATGATACAAAATTTGCCAAGTGGAAGCCTTAAACATGTTAGACATGTCATATTTTTGATAAGTTCCAAATTTCAAAATATTTCTCTGAAAGTTTCTTTGAATTAAACGCAATCATGGTCTAATTTTGCCTAGTGGCCGGAAGAGTATCTGCTTCATAGAGACTTTTTGGACAGCGAGAAAAACCTTAGCATTTAAGATATTATAGTATATTATTACCATGGAGGAATATATAGTATTCTGTTTTCCTCCATGCTATTACTTTTAAGGCTCCGCGCATACGCAGTTCGATTTAGGCATGCGCATATACTCCAAGGTGGTATAAGCTAAGGTGTTTCACGCTGTGCAAAAAAAGAACTGTCTTGTTTCTGTAGGGGGTTCGAAGGTCGATAGATGCCATTGACCCGAATCCATTTTAAAAAAATGCTGATTTGAGCGCCAACGCTGTCTATCTTTCAAAGATAAACAGTTGATATTTAAGAATATTTTTTAAAATGAAAGTGGTGTCTCATTAAATGAACGTTAAATTGTATAGAAAATTTAAACAGGAAAGGGGCTAGTAATAATTCAGTGTAAACTCTTCCAAAAATGAGTATTGAACATTAAAATGGGATTTGATCGCATGATTGTTTCTTCCAATGCCCTCTACTGTACCCAAACCTTTACCATGGAAGAGTAGTTGTGAAAAATCTTATTCCATGCCTTTACTTTCATATTATTTCATGTATTGGTAGCACTGCTAGTTCTTTATGCTGAGATTTGAAACAAACGTCTCGGAATAAAAAGAGGAAAAGCGCTGGTTTAGGGTTGCAAACGTGCAGGTCGGAAAGGAAGTAGACGATTGCAGGGTTTGTCGTGCAGGAGGTAGCATACGGGTGTAAGCGGGAGGAAGAGCAGTTATTTAGGGTTGCAAAGGCTTATTTGTGCGGTAAGGAGGAAATATTTTAATTCTCATTCGTTACGGCACTGAACTGAAATTCTGTGAATTTAGTAGTTTGTATAATCTCAGCGTATATTCCCTTGTCCTGTGCATTTCAATAAATAAGCAGAATATGCTATGTAGATTACATTTTCTTCACGTAATCGTAACGGTTTAGCTGCGGAATTCATCTGTGAAGCACGTGGTTGCTAGGCTATATACGACTTACCTTGTCCCTTTGTTGAATTGAGAATTGTGAAGTGCATGCGATATTCTGTAAGCTACGTCATTGCAAATCTGACGTAAAACGCTTTGCCGTTCATTATGTACGCTTTCGCGTTAATGAGTATTGCATACGAAGGTCAAACTAATCATTATAGTACTGTGCTGTGTTAATTTAAGATAGAGGGCATTCATCAAGAGTCGAATTCTGAAGTTAGATAAATTATGCCAGGGGCACAGAAGAAAGCATTCTGTATTAACTTCTAATAATGCGATTTGTCACCTGTTGAATTGTATAATTTTATTGGGTCAAATTACAGGTTTTTCAGGGCCATATCATATGCTGCAAGTGATATTTGTAATAATTGTTTTTTTATTTTTAGGACAATGTCAAGCCGAGAAGGAGGTAAAAAAAAGCCACTGAAGGCACCAAAGAAAAAAGAAGCAGAAGTTGATGAAGAAGACATGCAGAGAAAAATGAAAGAGAGAGAGAAACAAAAAGCACTTGAAGCAGCCAAACAGCGGGCATCGAAACCTGGTCCACTTGTTGGGGGTGGTATAAAGAAGTCTGGAAAGAAGTGACAGCATTTATGCTTTCCGCTTCTTCTTACATTCTTGATTTCCTATTTTTTATTAAATTTTGTGTTATTGTAACTTTTGTCCTATATTTAATTATTTGATCATGTCTCCAGTTTTATAATTCTCAATTTAAATCTCAATATGCCATATTTTGAGCTCAGGGTTCACAAAGAAATTTGTACTTGAGATAATTGCATTGATTGTAAAATTTGGCATGAAGAGAATAAAATTTGGTTGGGAATAACGTTTGTTTTAAATTATCAACCAGTAATTTTGGATGTAGATTACCATTACTGTCTGTTCAGAGTTTCTACCCATTTAAGCGAGACCTTACTTTAATCATTAGTTCGTCAAGATTTTTGTCAGGCGTTTAACAGTAAGTGTTATTTCTTCCCTGTGTTGAATAATTGCGATACAAATTTTTCTTACTATCTGTTCTGTAACTATTAGTAATATATGTTCAGTGGAGTGTAGAAAGGATTAATATGGTCACACTACCATTTGAATTTGTATGATACATTCTGGAAACCATTAGAAGAAAAGGAAGCTTTTGCAGATTTTGCAAGACTTGTAAAATATCCTGGAGAACAAGAGATCAACATATGACAGAAATGCCTCCACAGAATTAACCGGCACTAGATAAAATAACAATCATTAGTGATTTGTATTTGAAAGGCTGAAAGTGAATGCTTCATAGCAATTTTTGCATTTTCTTTTTCTCATCTTTCTTCCCAATAGTTGGGTGTAAATGTTGCTGAAGAATTCAGTTGACTAATTTATTTACTTAAGGAATATCCACATTTGAAACAAGTTGTTTTTTCTGTGTATTTGATTCAATTTACCTATAAAAAGTTGAAAAAATGCAGATGTACAAAGGAAGATAATTTTTGAAAGAGAATTTCACATCAGAGAGTTACTGGAATAGTAATAATTTGCAATAAATCTCTTATTTCTGTTTGTTTTAAGGCCTCTATTTTTCTTCAGAGGAATTTGAAGTAAGACTATTTTCATTACTACATTAATTTACATATTCTCTCTGTCATCTTTATTAACATATCTGGATGAATAATGTTGGAAATGCATACCATTCAGTTATTTTTAATTCACTAATAAATACTGCCACACATTGTGCATAATACATGCTGTTTATGCTTTAATGGCAACTGTTAAGATATTCCAGAATTTCCCACACAATAGAATCCAGTTGTTAAGAATGCAAAAGGTTTTATTAATGTATCTAGTAAAGTTCTTGCAGGTTTGAGTATAGTCTCTTATATTACAGCAATTGTTTCGAAATTTCTTCCTAAACAACTCTGGATGTGTATACACTTAATTTACTTCTTTTTGATAATTGGATTTGAATGTTCTTAAGTTTTTCTTGTGTATTTTTGATTCGTCAGTAATTCTTGGCATTGAACAGGTAAAAAAGAAATTGCAGGAAATGAATACATACAGCTAAAGCTGTTTCTCTTAGACAATTTAACAAAAAATTCATCTACACTTTTTGAAGATATAAAATAAGTAGAAATGATAATTGATTTTGAAAAAGTGTACCAATGCAACCTTAAAAATTGTTTCGATATAAAAAAATCAACTTGCCCAATATACAATGTTTCACAGAGTATTACATTGAAGAAACATGTGAGTAAATTATAGAAAGGTAACATTTGTACTACATATAACTCTGAAGTTGCATGGAATATTGGTTTTTTGCTGTTATAACAAAAGAATTCCTATCAGTACTTATTACTTCAAATCTGCAGTAAAGGCGCACTGTAAATAACTTCAATAATTTGTACAAGTTATTTAATATAATTGGTTGAGTTATATTGTTATGCATTTTCTGTATGGGAATTTTCCAATATAATTTGTATAACAGAAAATGGAAAAGAAATCCTGGCGAATGATAATTTCATTTTCTAAGACATACAAACAAAAAAAATTGTAACTTCTCCATCTTGTAGATATTATATTGGTTGTTAGGTCACCATACCTCAGAACCATGTAATAGAAATTACCTTATTAAAGGATTGCATAAAATTTGAATGGTATCAGTAAAGTCGGTTTGTTTGCAATATCATAACAAATCACGAAACTTGGTATCTAAGATTATTTCCAAGACCTTATATTCATTAAGTTTGAAGTTGATTGTCTTTATAATTAGAGCAGTTTAAAAACTGTTTCCCCCATGGAATCTCATAATTTTTCAATTTTTTCTTTAATGATAAACAATTGTCATTAGGCTTTTGTAATATTTCGTTCATTGTTTTTTTGAAGTTGCAGACAATCCTGTATATTCCCTATTGTTTAAACAACTTTGTCATCTGCAAATAGCAAAAGAGGTGTTGATGGCAAAGTAAATTTAACATCCTTAATAAATAAAATAAGTGCAAGCCTTATGGTACTCCCGAGGTTGGAAAAATGTTTTTAGAAATGTCAGATTTAGTCTGGTTAAATAGTTTTCAAACCATTTGAGTAGAACACCATTCCTATGGATTTCAACTTAAGAAGCAAATGTAAGGTAAATTGAATCAATTCTTTTCTTAAAATCTGTGCAAGACATATCAATTTGAGAATTCTGTTCAAGGCTTTCATGTAATAGCGGTAATTTGAATTTTAAGTAATTCGTAATGAATGGGTAGAGAAATAGTAAAATGAGATTTACTCATTCAGTTAAAATATGGTTTATTTTTTTCTTCAGGATAATTTAGCCCCAACAGTTACTATCCAACCATTTTCAGTGCAGTAAATATTCGGTGAGGATATTAATTGAAAAATTCCAACTACCACAATATTCTCAAACATTCGAAAGATCCAAAGCTCCATGCATGAATTGGTCCTGAGGTGGGTCGGTTATTTGCAATACAAATGATGTAGGTAGCATTGGTCGTGTCCTAATACAGCAGTGGAAATTAGATAAAGGTCCTAATGTTACATGGAGAAAATAATTTGTCAGAAATATATGAATTGTTGAAAATACAATTACTTTGACATAAAATACATTTTTGTGAAAAAAACAACACAAAAACACTATTATTATTATTATTATTATTATTATTATTATTATTATTATTATTGCTGGCGTATAGGCCATTACTGACCACACTACACGATTAACGTGTGTAATTCTTCCAGGATCATTTTTTCAGCTGTATCCTTGGATTACAACAAAGTTGTTATGCCTTGTAATGTGAATTATGAGATGATAGGTGAAGGGACAATCACAAATATGACCATGTCTACGCAAGACTCAAACCTGCAGCCTCTTCAGCACAGACTACGGCTGCCGCAACTATCTGCGTCATGGGGCCGACAAAAAACATTCTATTATTATGAAAGAAAACAAAATAAAAACAACTTAAAATGAGGAAATCTGTATAATGGCACCTTTGATTTTGACCATTCATTATGTAAATTGTTAAGAAATGTTTCCCTATTGATGTCTAATATTTAGTAGAATCTCCATTGTTTCTGACTACCAGGAAAATTATTTTCTGCATGGATTATCTTACATGAACATAAATGGTAGAATTACATTGTTGAAATATCAGATCACCATATTCTTCATACTTTCTAATAAGTTCATAATAGAGCATGTATATATTTCTCCAAGTTCATTCATGTGTTCAGCCACACATTTGATTTACCTGTTTCACTGAATGCTGCCCAGATCATGAAGATTCCACCCTTTGAAATTCCAGCCATCTGGATTTGATTTTCAATATGAAGGTCATGCCAGTAACCTTATAAACAGTCAGGACTGTCCAAATTAAATTTATTTTCGTCACTGAAAATTACTTCATTCCACAACATGCTCTTCAGAAAATTTCAATCTAGCAGTCTTTGTGATATTGGTTAAGGGGGGTTGTGTCAGCCGTTTCTTGTAACTTAAGTTTATGGTCTTCTGCTAGTATCTGTCTAATCTATCTAACAATGACAGGCAAATGGAAATCGCTTGCTATTTGAGAAGAGTCAATGTTATTGACTTTCGCGAAATTAATAGTTTAGTGCCCTCTAGAGCTTTTTTGCTCAACCATAATTAGTTTCTGCCATGCTGTGCACTCAGCTTGACAAAACTATTAATAACACAGCTTGATCATCCTAATTTCACGGTTTGGGAGTCCTATGTTTTTAGGCACACAAGTTCCTCTAGTCCTATGACAAATGTTTATCTCGTGGCATAGTCAAAGCAATAAATTTGTCCACAACATACAAGTCTCTTCTCCTCACAAAAGAAAACAAAACTACAAAGGAGTTAATAGTGGAGCGCCTTTGTACTGATTTTGGCCTCGAGAATGATTTTGTTACTTTTATGCAATAGAGCCGACTAACCAGAATATATATCGGGTCTAACAATGCACATAACAATTGTAAACATATCAATTAAAAAAATAATGTGATAATTTCTCAGTTAGTTCATCAATGAATTTATGAATTTCTTTCAAACAATTGCCTCTCCTTTATACTAATTTCGACCACTATAAGTTGCTCCATTCAATCTGATAGCATTGAAGTTTTGAAACAATACATGCTTATTTACTCTCAGAAATGGCTCAGTTTCATACAAATGTTATGTCCAGCGAATTGAAAAAGTAATATTAAAAGTAAATTGTATTTTTCCCAAAACTAACAAAATGCACATTTCGTGGTTTTGGTACATGTTGGACATTATTTGTAAACTGTTGTGTAAACATCCCTTTGCGGATGAACTACTCAATCCCGGAAAATAGGTTTTGTGTGATAGCTGAAATTCCCTGTTGGCTCTACATGTAGTTTATATTGTTGTTTATATAACAAAAAATTGAAATGTTGACATCATGTAAAACCTGCCAGTAACACAGGTAGTATTGGGGTCTGGCAAGGAGCAGGGTAGATTTGGGCAGTTTCGTGATACGACAGAGCAGGGCAAAGTAGAGCAGCCATGCCCTGCCAGATTAAGGAGAGGATACACTATGCACAGAATGCATTAGTTTTCCGGTCTGAAGAGATTATTACGGTAATTAAATATTCAGACAAGTAAAAGGATTCAACTCTGAACTTCCAATGCGATTTAATGGCACAAGTATCCACTAGTAAAATTTGGAAAGGCTTAATTAGTCTCTTATCTTCATCTAACTTGATTGAACTGCTCCTGCTATTTCTGTGGCTTGTAGGACATCAGAACTCATAAACAGTATTGCCACAAGACAGGTGATCAGGGAAGTCTCCGAATTTAATATTGCTGGGACAGGAAACTGATTGTTGAAAAATTTTTAAAAACATACAGGATTCTATTAGATAAACTATTTTTTCAATTCTGTTAGGGTTAATAATGTTCAATAATTTTCTGTTTTCATCATTTTTAAATCACTTCATTAAAATAATAAACTTATCTGAATTATCCTTGAATTGGTTTCTTCAACAATCGTCTTTTTCTTTTTTAATTCTCTAAAACATTTTACTATTTATATAAATACAATGCCCTTTTCAAATTCAAAATGCTTATACTACAAATTTGTTTTATTAGATCCTATAGTTGTATCAGAAATTTTTCATGGAAAATGTTTCATGGATGTTGGAGAAATGTCAGAATTTCATTACTTGAAGGTAGCTATCCTGTAAGCAAGGATATTTATTTGCTCCCTAGATGCCTTCAAATCAATGCAATGTTGTGAATTTATGTAAATAGGATATTTTCATGCTAGTCGATACATTTTGAATCATTCTTTATAAGACAAAATTATCGGTTGAGCTTATTGCACATATGCTGCTGCATGTATGAGAATTATTTCATGAAGCTTAAGGAGTCACTTCTGAATAGCAATACCCAGATATTATATTACTGAACATACTAGAATAATAAGTAAAGGTTATCCACACAATTCCTACAAACCTTCACTGGTATTGAGACATCTCTCTATTTAAAACTGTTTTTTGTCATCACTGAGCAAGTCATAATGGGTTTGCTTATCATACAGTATAATTATTTATCATTGTAACATGACTTAATCATATCGAATGAGCTGTTTGTATCGATATCTCACTTCTAAAAAATCTACCCACAACATTTAGCAATGCTTCACCAGATAATATTAATACCTGAAGTCAATTACAAGTAACATCTTTTCTGTTGCTGAAATATTGTAATGTAATAAAGACTATAATGTGCATCTAAAATGTTAATATAATAATGACATTGATCTTTAAATTGTGTAATTCTTGAAGACTGTCTGTGTACAGTGTTTTAGAATTGAACAGTATAACACATGTAAAGTTCTTTTTGATGTGTGATCCTCTCCCTCCCACTTTTTGAAATTGAGATGGTTTCTTGCATTGTTTGTCAACATAGAACTTTCTTCTCCATTCTCAGTCAAACATGTTATGTTTAAGTTTAATGTGTTACAACAGGGTCAATGATCATCAAGGAGTTGATTGGGGGCAATAGCCGAATGTAAACTGACACCTTATCGGTATTATCAAGATCCCATTGATTACAAAAAATATTAATCAACGTAGTTAACTATTTCCTGCTGTAAAACAACAAAAGGTAGAATAATAAATTACAAATTCACTCATTCACATCCACCTATCATCCTCAGAAATTAGGGAATTGGGTGTTTCGAAAACAACTCTTGTGTTCACAATACTCTGTAAAACTTGTTTTTCTGGGAGACTTTCTCTGCAACATTGGTGGTACTGTTGCCTGGAAAATGTTATGTTGGAGAGGGGGGAAAAGTGAATACATGTCTCCAATTTTACAGAAATGTCACATTTTCCAGAATGTGGTATATGAATTACATTAGGAGTATTTTTGGAATGCATATAATTAACATTTTATGAACAGTATAGAAAAAAATCACTATCTTAGAATGTTAATGTCTTTATTAAATAATTTTATAAGTGTACACATTTTTGGATCAGGACACTGCTTAGCATCTTTGCCCTGGGGTCTCGCCCTTGTTAACATCCAATAAGCAGGGGCGGTTCTAAGATTAACGCGACACCCAAAAAAATGAACTAAACAGAATATATACTTCATTACAATCGCATTAATAGTTCGCCCTTTTTGTGCTCTTTTTATAACTTCCATACCAATATTACATTGAACCGATGTGGCTACATTGCTATTCACATTTTCGAAACCCCACCTAGCTCAGACCTCGTGCCATAAGGCCATTGGGTTCCACGCGACGTCAATTCTGAGTTTTTATAGGGCGCTTTCAGCTGATCATGTTCACACTTCCGCCGTGAACTCCACTTGGCTCAGCTCTTATCGGACTACCCCGTCACCAAATTCCGAGACGTTCTCCGTCCCGCCGTCAGTAAAACTGTCCCCGATATGATACTCCGATGTTTTGCATCTGATGTGGATGGTGATGGCGTACTTAAATTAATGTAGACATTTTTTTTTTCATCTCGGGTTCGAATAATGCTTTAATTATAGTGTCCGTGCATCCTGGTGTTCAATTATTTCAGTCAAGCCTTTTCCATAATTGAAACCTCTGTGAAATCGGCAAAACGAAAGTTCCATCGACGATTCGATGCTAATATTAATTCGACACAAGTAACTACGTGAGTGTGAGGGGAAAATGCACCATTTTGGTTTCCTTGCATCTTATTGAGCAAGGAGGAAAATGCGTGGACGAAGGCCGGTTATGTCATGAGCCATGTGACTGAGAAACTTAAAAAAAAAAATCAAGAGGCACATAAAAACAGTAACTTTTGGTAAGTCTCCATAAAAATAATAAGGTTTCGATTTATTCAGTACAACAAATTTTAAAAAAGTAAAATCAGTATGTGACGGGGGGAGATTATCTGCGCACGTTTTCTTGAGTTCCAGAATCCCTCCCCGTCATTTGAACTATAAAAAGTTGAAAGATGAGTATAAGTTTAAAATAAATAAAAGTAAATTTTAAAAATCGCAAGATTAGCAATATTTGAAAAGATAGACATTTTGTCTCCGCGTTATAGAAAACTTATTTGCATCGGTAAACGAATAGAT